AGTTTTTATTAATCCTGGATGATTCTTACCGTAGGTATGCAGTGTTCGATTGAATACAGTTTGTTGCCTTTTCTTCCATTCCTTCAATATAGTTCCAATTTCTGTCCACCTTATTTATAACCAGTAACCTTCGAATGCATTGCCAGTTTTGCAACGATCATTAAAGTTCGCCTCGCCGGTTTCTGCCCTACGATATTTATGTGGCTCGATTGACTCAGTAACCAGTGCCAGAACCAGGAGCAGGTGGCTGTGTAGTTTGTATGCCTACTCTAGGTTGGTTAGGAGAGTTTTCAGAGAACTTAACTGGTCGGCAGCATTGCTGTCAAAGCTTAAGTGTTATTGTGGGAAATACGTGCGACCTCTTGTTTGTTTTGTTACCACAGAAGTTTTGCTCAGTTGAATCGTTTCTCTGCAGAAAATGATGAATTCCCCATATAGTTTCGGGTATGGAGATAACACACGCTGTATGCAGTCGTCAACATAGTTGTGTGAGAACGTGAGGTATTCCAGGGTTTCTTCAAATCCGCTTGAAAGATTCAACAGTTCGCACACAAACAATGTAAGATGGGAGTGTTTCAAGTAGAGCATGCTCTGATGGCAAAAGATGGAAGCCGGTATTCCAGTCGACACCTTAAAAGCCATAAGTAGAAATGATGTAAATGTTGGGCGACATTGTGGCCAGTAGACGACACGGATAGTTTGGAATCTGAAAGATCTACTACACCACAATCAGGCCTCCTCGGCTTCGGCGGTACTGAATGTAATGTAATCCCAATGATTTTAGTCTCTCCCCGCAGAAACATTGAATTCAATGTCCCTCTCCATAGACCATTGATAAACTGCTTTGTGTTCCTTGTTTCATTAGCGAGCTCTCGGTTTCTGTTACTGTATTCCGGATTTTTGTACCACCTGCAAATAGTATAGGTTTTGGCCCCGGAACACTCAGTAGATCATTTATTAAAGTGAGGATTAGTCAGAAATCAAGTAAAAACCCTTGAGAAACCCCGCGGGTTTCGTTGGTAGAAGCGGACAGGGAATCAGAAACACGAACTTCGTCTTCGGAAAAATGCTTTAATCGAATCAAGCGCGGGACCTCGAATGTTCAGATTATCAAACTTCTACAACTTCTATATCTTGTTTACCAACAACATTCAAGCTGGTTGAAAAAAGCGTTTTTGCCGGTATCCATGATGAACTGCTGATAGGAGGGTCTATTTTTCTAAGTGTTCCATCAGGGAATTGACTCCATGACTTGAGTTAACACTGGATGGAGGGTTATTGATTGGTAGTTAGTGGGGTCACTACGACGACTGTCACTACAATTCCCAGGACTTGGGATGTAGGATATCATGAAAGTGAACGGTTAGTTGTGGCCGTAGATTTTACCCTTTCTGCTGTGCAATACAGAAATCGCGTTTGTTGATTTTTGTACTCAAACTGTAAATAATCATGGACTTTTTACCGATTGGTTTTTAAGTTCTCTGTGATATCGTCGACTCTTACCTCAACTTCATTTTACATACACTTGTTGTAGATTATGTCATCCTGGACCGTGCCCCCCGTGCATCGCCAGAGTCACTTTGAGCTGTCCCTGTGGTCAAATTAAAAAGTCTGCTCTCTGTGGGGATTGTGCACCTGGACCCTGTGGACAAATTTGTCAGAAAAATCTTCCTACAGATGAATCCGGATTAATTCGATGCACCACGGGAGTACACAGCTGCTTATCCCAGTGTCATACAGGTCCCTGCCCACTGTGCAGCTGGATTTTAGAGGCCGGTAAGTTATGATGAAGCTCCTGAGTATCATAACTGAAGACTGATAGGATAGCATTTGAGCACGGTCAGTTGTAATAGGTGAGTACTAGCTTGTGCATGTGATTGACGTGTTTCTTAAATCGAGGAGGCAATTCCGACAATATTGGACGATAATAAACATGGTAATAATTTTAGAAGGGAAACAGACGTTTCTGTTGAGTGATGGGCTGGGGACTGAGAATCAGAAATAGGGGATTCAGTCGTCTATAATGCAGAAAGAAGGATAAAGAACAACGTTGGTATACTTTAAACGCACCCGAATCCAAACTTTACCTAAGAAATTACACTGCAATAGTAATCGTAAGAAACTTGCTAGTGGGCGGGATACTGCTTGATTGCCCCGGACCCAGCAGAGAATATATATATATATATATATATATATATCACATGCGTTCAACGCCAGACTGTATGCCAAACAAATCATGATACAACAATATTTATGAAAAAGGTAAACCTTCCATGATTTGCATGTGGACTGAATACTGCCAGGTTTCCCAGGCCAAGTTAGGTGAACTTTCTTGAGGATCCACAACCGAAGCCTTCGGCTAGCCAGAGTCTGACCCACAAGGCAGCAGGGCGGTGTATGAGAACCGCCATCCATTGGGGCCGGTGTCCAGTACATCGGATCATACGCCCTTTGTACAGGGTCGAACGTTCAAGGTGCCTAATCGAGCCGGTGACCACGGCCACATCGAGGAGGGTGTGGGTGGTTTTGTGTGTGGTTCGTACGCCTCTTCCTGGTTGGTTTGGAATTAGGGTTTTTGGCCAACTCCCCTAGTTGAACTGCCAGTGGTTCACCAACCCGGTTATAGCCCCGGATTTGGGCTTTTCGTCCTCTCGCTTTGGTGGGAAAAC